AAGAGAAGGTTTGACTAGGGAGTATCTAAAGTATCTTCCAACTCTAAATCCTATGATGTAACAACCCCAAGAAAATCTTATTCCAAACTCTAGGTTTATTCCATTTTTCCAACAAAAGAAAAGGCAAGGAAATTGCAGATGAAGGGAATGGTATGACCAAGGAAACTCTGGAAGCACTTGAGATACATGAAGTTGTCAGTTTCAAGTATAAAATAAATGATGAGATAATATGAGAAAGACTGGCATGAGACAAGGCAGCCATGTGGCCTAGCTAGCCTAGCAGTCAGAAAGACCCATCTTCTTGAGTTCAAATCTGCCCTTAGACACTTACTGGTTGTGTAACCTTGGGGAAGTCACTTAAGCCTGTTGCCTCAGTTTCCTCATCTGTAAAATGTTCTAGAGAAGGAAATGGTAAACCATTCCAATATCTTTGCCAAGAAGACCCCAAACGGAGTCATGAAGAGTTGGACGTGACTGAAAAATAACTGAATAACAAAAGGCTGGACAGAATTAGAATTTTACTTGCTAGGCATAGGTTGTGTGAATATGGGACACTGGGCCAATGCTTGTGACACAAATATGTGTCACACATTTGTGTGACACTTGTGACACTGATACAAATAAAGAAAACAAGAGGAAGAGCTGAGCCAGCCATTCTTCTGTATTCCCTACAGCTGCCTTGGACCAATTGCCCCCTTCCTCCTCCATGCTGATTCCTGGTGCCTGGGATTCCCTGACCTCCCTTCCTCTGTTCATTCTTCCCCTCCTTAAGTCTGCTTGGAATGGCCATTTAGCACAGACCTTAGAAGGATTTTCAAAGACTCTTAAATTTGGAAGAGACCTTTGAGGCCATCTAGTCCAATGCATACCTGAAGAAGAATCCTCCCTAAAACATCATCAGAAGATGGCAGCCACCTTTTGATTGAAAACCACTGGAAGAGAAGGAGCTCACCAACCTCAAAGACAGCCCTTTCTATCTTTGGGCAGCCCTGCTTTGTTGTTGTTATTAATTAAATCAAGTCTAAACCTACTTCTTTTCCGTTTCTACCCATCACTCCTAGTTCTGCTCTCTGGGGTCAAGTTGCAGAAACAACATCCTTCTTGAGCTCTTGAGACCCTCAAAGACAGCCATCAGTGAGTTCTCCTCTCAGTCTCATCAAGGATTCCTAACTCCCTTCTTTGAACTATAACGCTAAACCACTCATTTGGTTCTTATCTCATACTGACTTGTATTGTTTAATTACTCCTTCTTGGGCATGTATCGGTGTATTTCCAGTAGGACCATTAACTTCTGAAGGGTAGGAGCTGATTCTCAGGTTTCTTTTGTCACCCTCAGTCCCATTCTTCCAGAGCCCTGTAGAATTGTCACTGGCTTCCTGTGTCTGAAGATCTTTCTGGTCTTCAGAATCCCCAACTGTAGGTCCAGGCATTTTCCACATCTCCCACATTTGTGAAACAAAGAGAAATCATAATCATACCTGCTTGCTAAATAATCCCTTTGACTGGAGGGCAGAGACCACTCTTCCCAGAACTTCTAATTAAGGAGGGAGCCCAGGTCAGCCACCACTTCATTTCCCAGCCAGCTGCATTTCCTTGGACTTCTCCATCATACCCCTATCCCCCACCACCTCCACTCCACACTGATTATCTTCCTCCCCTTCTTTCTTACTTTTGTATGTTGTTTTCACCCATTAGATAGTGAGCTCCTTAAGGTCAGGGACTATCTTCCTATTTTGGAGGGGAAGAATCTTCATGAGAGGTCAGGTTTCCTAAGTCTCTGTTCCAGGGTTCACTGTACAGAGATATCTGTATTGCAGAGAACACCTGAGGGCCACTTGGTCTAGGTCTAGGATGAGAGGCCATGGGACCATTCCCCTATTCGATGTTCAAGAGGCTCAATAGAAACAGAGCCTGAGTGCTAATGACTGACATACATTTTATCATTCTCAGTCCCAGGACTCCACCTCCAATGTAGTCCAATCCCACAGTAGCAAACACAGTGCCAGTCACACAGCAGGAGAGAAACAAATGCTTATTGAATTGAGAACTGAAGGTAAGAGAGCTCTCATAGTGGATGCTTCCTGATCTTTCCTTCCAAACTGAATAGCTGAGAGAATCCATGTGGTCCCGGGGCCAAGGACACATAAAAGGCCTCTCTCCTTCCCCGCATTCCCTCTAGCAATACCCCCAGCTGAGGGAAACTGAAGAGAGGGACTTCTCTTATTGAGAGATTAAAGCCAAGCAAATAGGGAAATCACTGTCATTCTCTCAAAGGCAGACAGAAGAAAATTCTTTGCTCCCTAGCAAAAGAAACTTTGAGGCAAGAGATGGGAGTCAAGGACAGAAGAGACAATATGCAAAGAGAATATCTAAATTTAATTTTAGAATGAAAAGAATATTCTTTTCAGCTCTTCAGCCAATGATCCTGTGTCCTAGAGATGTTTCTCTCTCTCCATCTCTTTGCATCTCTCTCTGAGTCATTCTCTTACTGTATTCCCCATCAGTTGTCTTCCTTCTCTATTTCTATCTTTTAGTCTTTCCTGATTTTTCTGTCTTCCCCATCCCTCTGTCTTTCTCTAGCTCTAGCTCTCTTACGGCCTTTTGTGTCTCTTTCTCCCTGTATCTCTCTCTCTCTGTCTCTACTTTTCTCTCTCTTTAGTGCCATAATCCCTGCTTTGCCCAGTGTGAGTCTGGGAGCTGGTAAGCAAATATTCAAAAAAGGTTCCATGACATAGGGAAAGGGAGAAACACATTACTGGGAGTTCAAGTTTAGGATTTAAGTTGCTTAATGAAGGATGGGAAGTGTCGAAGTCATAAAGGTATCTTGGAGGAGTAGATTAGGGAAGAAAGTCGCCATGAAGTCTATTTCATCCTCTGCAGTGGAAAATGCTAAAGAAAGTGAGGGGATAATCACTTCTACTTTTCCCCCATCTCTCCCCTCACAGCAACTTGCCATGGAGCTTATATTTTCCCATTAGGGGGAATCAGAGCACTAAGGTCAGTCTGTGATGTAAATGTAGCTCCTGGTCTAGTGAGAGGTGATATTCAGAAAGAGGGCTCTGGGGCCCTGCCAAGACTCAAGGGCCTCAGGGCAGCTAGGTGGCCAGTGGATAGAGCACTGGCCTTGGAGTCAGGAGGACCTGAGTTCAAATTTGGCCTCAGAAACTTGATGCTTACTAGCTGTGTGACCCTGGGCAAGTCACTTAACCCCAATTGCCTGGCCCCCCCCAAAAAAAAAAGACTCAAGAGCCTCCTATGTCCCCACAGCCAGGAAGGTTCAGTCAAGTTTTCATTCTTAAATTCATTCATTATATTCTAATGCTTTGAGAATAGCTAAACTGTTTCTAATATATGTGGTAACTTTTTATTAACCAGAATATTTAAATAACCAAAATGTGCCATTGCCTGGGTAACCAGTGCCTATGATCCAATTTGGTATAATCCAACATAATCCAACAGCTATTCATATAATCCAATTCAACATTTAAGTGCCTACTATGTGCCAGGTGCTGTGAGAGATACGTTAGAATACAGGACAATTATGCCCTTATATTTTGTTGGAGGGAAGCAACGTGCACACGTATAAGTAAAAGCAAAATGCTGGAAATACAAAGTAATTTCCAGGGGAAGGTCGCAGGATGAATATAAAGGGCGGTTATTTAAGAAGTGGAACAGGGTTCCAGTGGGCACAATGAAAAGGGAGGGAAGAGTAAGATAAGGACACCAGAGGAATAGGGCTGACATGGATGGAGGGGAGGAGAGAGAAGAAATGGAGGAGAAAGAAGGAAGGTTCACCAGGAGGGGAACCTGCAGCCTCAAGGCCACATGTGGCCAACTAGGTTCTTAAATGCATCCCTTTGATTGAATCCAAACTTCAAAGAACAAAAACCCTTAAAAAAGGGATCTGTTCTGTGAAACTTGGACTCAGTCAAAAGGCCGCACCTACGGACCTAGAAGGCCACATACCAAGTGAGCCCATAAAGAAATAGGTTACCAAGGCAACTAGGTGGTGCAGTGAATAGAGCACCGGCCCTGAAGTCAGGAGAACCTGAGTTCAAATCTGGTTTCAGACCAAACACTTGACACATACTAGCTGTGTGGCCCTGGGCAAGTCACTTAACCGCAATTGCCTTTAAAAAAAAAAAAGATTACCATATTCTTCACAAGCATCTCTTTCTAGTTCTTTCTATATTGAGAACGAAATAGATCCAGGTCTTTATCATAATAGTAATAATCCTAATAATTATTTTCTCATACACAAATAACTCCATTACCTTTCCAAAGTAATCCAACATTCATGTTCTCATTTGACTCTTCACAAGAATTCTGTAAGGTAGACAAAGGAGGAACCCCCATTTTAAAAATGAGGAGATTGAGTCACCAGGAGATTGGGCTTCCTGTCCTAAGGAACCAGTTATAGCTATTCTTACAATTTCCCAGGAGCAAAAAGTATTTCTGGGAGAGATTTGTGTTTCTGATCTAGGATCTTTCCTCCCATATATTATTTCTGTTTCCTAAATTCTTAATGAGTATGGGAACCTAATGATGTGTCTGCAAAGACTCAGAGATTAATCATCTTGGTGGAATTATGGTTCAAGAGAAAAAAGATTAGGTATCAAGAATTGGAACACACTGGTTTCCATCTCTACTCCGACATTGGCTTATTATGATACAATAATTCCAATTATCTAGTCCACAAGTATTTAGCGTGTTATAGAAAAAGGAGCCCAAGACCTGGGAGTGTGGTCCAAGTTCTGATGCTTATTAATCATAAGATTTTATTTCTTTGCTTTGCTTTGTACCTCAGTACTGGCCTATGTAAAGTGGCAGTGTTAGAATAAGTGGTCTGAAAAGTTTCCTTAGGTTCAAATATCTGACAGGTCAAGGATTGGCAGACCTGCCAGAATTTTCCACCCATGAATGAGGCTTCCAAAGCCACCTCGTCCACAGAGTTGAGATTTACTGTCCCTTATTTCACAAACACACAAGAGGTTCAGAGATAGAAGGATATGCAACGGTTTTATTTCCATTCACACATTTCATAGAAACAAAATAAAAAGCACATTTATGGCGTATGAAAAGCTAGATCTGTACAAATTCCTCTATTTATAAATGCAGGGAGACAGGAGCATCAGTGGCAGCAGCTGCAACTCTCGGTGTGGGGGGCTTTGCAGACACAGCCCTGGGCACACTTGGCACATCCTGTTGGGCAGCAGGAGCAGCAGCCTGAGAAAGAAAGACAGGAGATAAGTATGATGAGTCCTGGCCTGAGAGCCTGGCAGAGCTCAAGTTCGGGGATGTGCTTCAAAAGCAAGGAAAGGATGTTGCTTTACCTCTTAGGGGAGATGTAGAGGACTTGGTACCACTAAGAAATGAGTCTCCAAAGCCCCAACTCCTGAACTGATCCCCAGGTCTTTTCAGGTATTCTCTGATGGGTCAGGGGCTGTTTATTTCAAACCAGAAAAGGATTTCCCCCAAGATACCCACACCCATTCCCCAACATATTACACTCTAACTCACTTTTCCTGCAGGAGCTACATCGGCAGGATTTACATTTGCAGAAGCCTGCACAGGCACAAGAGCCACCTTGAGGAAGATAAACTTTAAGGATGAGCATAGAAATATCCCAGAGCTCTAGCTAGGCTTGAGAGTAGGAAGTACAAGTCTGAGATTTTCATTTCCTTCTAGAGCTCATTCCTCAAACCTGGTCCCCATAGTCACCAAGGAGAGATATTAGCTCTGAACTCTTCTTAGACTTGCCTTAACAAAGCCAAGGAGGCTGTCACTCTACCTTTCTCACATCCCTAGAAAAGCATCTTCTCCCACCAGGAAGGACAGAAGTCAATCTAAATTGTTCTCTATTTTCAGAAGCTCTCCCCCACTCCAAATTGACACACCCGGAGTCCCTGACCCATGCTGATCAACTCATTAGGGATCACATTTCCAAAAAGGATGCTAAAGTCAGTTATCTGTGAAAAAGGGCCCTTTTCCAATCTACCGATCTCTGGTGCCTGGACTGTTAAGCACAGGCAGGGGATTACTGTCCTGGAGGTGTTTCCAGAACCCAGGAGTCTCTTACCACTTTCACAATCACAGTTGGGGTCCATGGCTGGCAGATAGAGGTCAGATATGAAGTTGCCCCCTCCCCCCCGGGGAAGAATAGTCTGGAAGGTTGGATTCAGGGGTGGAGGGAAAGAATGGTATCCTCCCCTTTATTGCAGAAGGACCAGGAGAATGAGTGCAAAGGCCCCACCCCCTTCCCTCCCCTCTTTCCCGACTGCCCGAGGCCAGCCTCTTGCACACAGCCCCAGGGCTGTGCTGACTGCTGGGCTCTTTGCTCATTGCCTTGTGAATCTACGTATTGACTTAGAAATCAGAAGGTGCCAAGTGCAAATCTCTGGGCTGCCTCGCACACTGGAGGGGCTGTGTGCAGAGAAGAAAAAACATGCTTTAGAGCCCAGATACCTTCCCCTCCTCCTGGAATAGCTGGCCTATCTCCCTGGCACCCAAGCATATGTGAAAATATGACCTGGTAGCCTTTCTTCTATCCCGGGAGCCCAGACTTCACATCTCTGCACAGAGTTTGTGTTTCCTGTGAGGGGCCTTGTGCAAAGGCATCTCAGGCTGCTCACCACTTTAATGGTCCCATAAACCCTCAGCAATAAATGTCACTTTCTCTCCATCAAACTCAAACCGTAGGCTCTGCTTTCATGAGTAACAGATGTGGGTGACAGCAGTGTTGGAGACCTGGGAAGGAGAAAGATTTGGTGATCTGGAGCCGTGTGGAGAGGTCCCAGAATGAGCTTGAATCTTATGGGGACTTGGAAGGCCACATTCAAACACTCAATTAACAAGCATATTAAAAGTTTACTATGCTCTGTGCCAGTTGAAGGTGATTATGGGCCCAAACTGGGACAGTCTCTGCCATTGAGCAGTCTGCACTCTCACTAAGGAAAATAACATGTCTATAAATGGATATATATGTATATATGTATATGTGTATGTATGTATGTATGTATATATATATATATATATATAACATGTGAATTATGTATACAAGGTGACTGGAGGGGGGGGCACTTGCAGTTAAAGATGGGGAAGTTAGAGAGATCAAGGAAGGATTCATGCAAGGGTTGGTGATTTAGCTGAGCCTTTTAAGAAACTAACTTTCTCCTACAGGAAAACAGAAGGGAAAGGGGATAAGACAAGAGGGGGAGAGATAGAAGGGAGGGCAGACTAGGGGAAGGGATATTCAGAATGCATGCCATCTTGGGGTGGGGGGAGGGGCGAGATGTGGTGAAAATTTGGAACTCAAAATCTTGTGGAAGTAAATGTTGGAAACTGAAAATGAATAAATTAAAAAGAAAAAAAAAGAAACTAGCTTTCTAAAAGTCAGAGGTAAAGGGGAGTGAATCCCAGGCCTGAGGGACAGCAGGTACAAACCGTGGGGACAGGAGGTTGGGTGCTATATACCAGAAACAATAAATAAGCCAGCTAGAACCTGAAGGAGATTGAGGCTGGAAGGGAAGGTCGGGGCCTGATTGTGAAAGGTTTTAAATGTCAGAGGAGCTCATAGTTGATCCTAGAGGGATCCTATAGGGAGTTAATTGAGTAAGGACACTACAAGGTCACACCTGTACTTGAAGAAAACCAGAGATGGCTATGACATAAGGTAAGAAGACAGTTAGGAGTAGTAGTTCAGGTGAGAAGGGCCTAAAGCAGGCTGGTGGCTGTGTGAGTGGCAAAGAGACAGTTATGAGAGATATTGTGAAGGTCCAAAGGTTTAGGGCTGTTCTTTGGGTGTCCTTCATTCAAAACAAGGGTACTTTTCATCCTCAGTCAGGATCCCCTTCCAAGTAGATCTTGCTATCTTTCTGTGGTTGCTAGTTAGCAGCTTCACCCCCTGGGTCCCAAGTTTGGGTTGGCCCTCTGGTTACTGAGTCACAGGATTTAAGAGCTGGAAGAGAGAAGAAATGAAACACTTTCAAATTCCTGGCTACTATAAAAACCCATATTTGAATAATCAATATTTTCCTGGCAATGATAACTACGGGACATTTTGATCTCAAACAAATAAAAATTACAGGTTATCAGGAATCCACAAAGAGACCCCAGGTAGATAAAGGCAAAGGCTGAAACACATGACCAAGGCTTTCCTTACTAGAATAAGTGGTTTAAAATACATAACCCATGGCACACACAATCAGGAAAATAGGAAGGCTGTTCTTATAGTAAGAGAGAGGAGACATTTTGAAAGTTGAATTGGTACCTCCTGATTATGAAAAATTACCAGAGAAAGGCCTCTGAAACATTAAGTGGCTTCTTTACAGAGGATTTACAAAAGATATGAATAAGAATTACCATGTGTGGGGTACAGAGGAGCTGCAATCTTCACCAGTGAAGGGTATATCCACACTGGAGATCACAAAAACCATCTAAGTCCATTTCCCCTCAACAACTTAAAACAGTGTTAGGCACATACAAACAAAGTAACAAATACTACTTGAATTGGAAGTCTGAGACAGCTCTCTTAGAAGACACTTCAGGGGTCTTTTGACCCAGAGAAGAATTTTCCTCTTTCCCAGCTTAGCCTATCTCCAGCAGTGACCCCAGGTTACAGTAATGCCAGAGATGGCCTTCTCTATGGAAGTGTTAATGCCAAGTAAAAATTAAAACCATCAGAATCTCTCTGAAATATAGGTAGAGGAAGTCTGAAAATACAGGAGGATCTATCCTTCTAGATAGAGGAATATCTTAGAAATGAGAAATGGAAATGACTCCAAATCAAATTCATCCCTGTGATTTGGGGGTGGTTAATATCACTAACTCTTTATTCTTCTTTGTGACTTTTGTTGCTTTTATTTTCTTTCTCTGTCTGTGTGTGTGTATGTTTGTGAGTGTGTGTATATACACATATATACATACATATATATTATGTGTATGCATACACACAATTTTTTTTCTCTGTATGCATCAATATCTCTGTCTTACTTTGTCTATTTACTTACCCTGTCATAGCCTTTCTTTGTATTTCTCATTCTTTCTATTCTTCATTATTTCCATTCCTTACTTTCTTTGTGTCTCTGTGTTTTTCTTTCTCTTCGTGTCTTTGTTATGTTTCTATATTTTTTCTTTGATCTCATCCTTAGTTCTGTGTGTGTATGTCTCTCTTGATTTTGGCTTGCCCAGACAGCATAGTGGTCATTTAATGTATTTTAACTTAGTCTTATTCTTCTATGTTTATAAGTAAAGAACTGTATCTAGCAACGTTACATGCTTGTATGATGAAGTGCATTGAAATGCCGAGATGAAGGGAAGAAAGCCATTTTCTGGTGGTTGGGGACTGAGTCAAGAGCTCAATTGCATCATTTTAAATTAATAAGATGAGTTCCAGAACAGGTCGGGAGCTAGGGAATAGAGGCAGTCAACTCTGGTTGCTATGAGGAAGGAGTTTTTAATTGTCCCAGGATGTGGGCAGACCACGCAACTAACAACTGCAGTGAATTAGGAATTGATAGTGCCTGTTTCTTGTAATGTTGACCATTGGGCAGATGGTCAACAGCTCTCCCTAGTGGTTTCATCTACGGTGCAGAGGTGAGGGTGGGCTGGAGAGGGGGGAAGAAAGGGGTGGAGGGGAAGGGAAAGGGACTCAACAAGGCTCTGCCACCTCTGCCAATTCTGTGTCACAACAGATAAATGGTATTGTTTTCAGTTCAGTTTTCATACTGTATCCTTCATGGTATTCTAATGTTGTGTATACTCAGTAGAGATTGTTTAGTCCTGTCATCATGACTCCATTTGGGGTTTTCTTGGCAGAGATACTGCAGTGGTTTGCCATTTCCTTCTCCAGCTCATTTTACAGATAAGGAAACTGAGGCAAACAGGGTGAAGTGACTTGCCCAGGGTCACATAACTAGTAAGTGTCTGAGGCTAGATCTGAACTCAGGAAAGTGAGCCTTCCTGACTCTGGGCCCAGTACTCTATCCACTGTGCCATCTAGTTGTGCCACACAGTATATGTGGAAATTATCAATTATCAAAACTCTCCTTTCCTTGAGCTTCCTGGGTAAGCACCAAAGCCTGTGGCCCTATTTCTGTTCCCTTCCAGCCCAAGAATAATACAGCTCCATTGGTGTTTAGTTTTTAATAAATTTGATTTGATATCTTTTGTTTTTTACCTCACCAACATTTCTCTCAGGATCCTTTCCCCTCCCCCCTTTCACAGAGCCATCTTATATGGCAAGTAATATTTTTTAAAGAAAAAGAAGAGAAAAAAATCAGCAAAACCAACTAATTAATAGGGAAAGTCTGAAAATACGGGTAATTGGACTTCCTACTCTATAAAGGACTGGGATGGGGGCATTTTCTCATATCTGTTCTTTGGGGCTAAAACTCCATTTATTGCTTTCATTAACAATAACAAAACTTCACATACCTCAATTTTCCAAAGCATTTCTATATCTATGATCTCATGTATTCCCTACAGTAACCCTATGTGATAGGCAGGACAGAAGATCCCAGTTTACAGAGGAGGAAAATGGCAAAGGAGATTTGGAGTTTATTTTCCTGGGAACCAATCCTCAGAATTGCTCAGAAGTATGAAAAAGGGCTTCCCAGGGAGTCCGTGGACCTAGGCTCTTTTCTCTTACCTGTTATTCCCATTTCTTAAACTCTTTAACATACCGAGGGCTCAATGGTGTATCTACAAAGGACCTGAGATAGAGGCTTTTGTGGCTAAGGATAATGTATCATGGTTCAGTGAAAGACTCTAGCCATCTGGCATCAGAACACCCAAGTTCTAGCCTCCAGATTGTCTTTGCTCCACTGTTTAACTCCCCTTTTCTTCCCTTTCACAATATTTGTTGAGATAGTGGGAAAAGGCTCTGATTAGGAGTTAGAAAACCTAAGAAGTATAGGCCCAAATCTGACGTTAAATGATTTTGGTCAAGTCATTTCTCTCAGGGTCTCAGTTTCTTCTTTTACAAAATGGCAGTGTTGGACAAAAAGATCTCTGTTTCCCCATGGAGTTTCCACAGCATCTCTGTCCAAGGAGTCAAGGTTAGTGTTCTTTATTCCTCATCCACTAATCTCAACAAGAGGAAGAAGGGTATTTGTTGGTTTTATTTTAATTGACACATTTCAGAAGAGGGGAAAGGGTTAGGAAATATGTCCAAGGTATATAAAAAACCAGGTCCGTACAAACCCCTTCCTTTATAGGCACAGAGAGACAGGGATATCAGTAATGATAGCTAGTGATGTCTATAGTGATAGCTACACTATAGCGTAATGATAGCTACAATTGAGAGGGGGTTGCAGACATAGTCCTGAACACACTTGGCACGTCCCAGTGAGTAGCAGGAGTAGGACCCTGAGAAGTGCAAACAGGAGTTCAGAGAGTGAGGGCAGTCTAACAAGGGTCAAAAGTTCCAGGGATATCAGTGGGGATGGATCTCAGAAGCACAAGAAGGATGCTGTCCTACTGGGACTCTTTAAGAAAGATTCTGGGGGCTTTGTACCACTAGAAATTGAGCCTCCACTTCACGTATTTTCTCCTGAACTGATCTCCAGGCAGGCCCACACAAGCATCTCCTGGGTGCAGCAGGGTCTGCTCAGGTCTGGCCATGGAAAGTCCCAGAACTCTGGACAGGGTTAGGGATAGGAAATAAAGGCCTATGATTCTCTTTTCTCCTTCATTTCCCATTCCCCAGTCTGTATTCATTCCCTAGCACTCCTCTGTATAGTCACCAAGAAGGGGGTGCAGACCTCAGATCTTTCCGAAGCTCTGAACAGCCTGTCTGTCCTTCTGCCTTTCTCAGCTCCCCAGAGAAACATTTTCTCCCAATTGTAAGAACCCAGATCCAGACCCTGAACCTAATTGCTCCCCATTGTTGGCAACCTGACCACCACCTCCGTCTCCACAAAAAAGCACGTTTCTGGAAGGAGCCCTAAAGTCTGCTCCTGGTTCAAAAGAGCCCTTTTTAAGTCTATTCCTATCCTGGGGCCCTGGTGGTTAAGCACATTTGTAGTTCAAAGCTCTACTTCTTTGAACCTTTGAAATAGAAAGCCAGTGGGATATTTCTCTGTTCCTTCATTTCAAAACCAAACCCAACATCTTCCCAGTTTCCAAAGCCTCTAAGACCCTCAGGTTACACCTCTTTTCTTCAAAGCCCCAAAGCCTATCCTAAAACAGAGCCTGACCCCAGCTCAAAGCAGACACAGGAGCCCTATTCCCTGAGGCAGCCAGAGAACCCTCACCTCCCAGTCACATTTGGAGTCTCTCACTGGCAGATGAAGGACTCTGAAAGAGAATGAGCTGGAGGACTAAGGGACAAGATATAGAGGGAATGAGCCCAGTGCTAATTTAGCTGAAGATCCAGATGTAACTCTAACTTGGGTCTCTGCCCTCACCATACCCCCTGAGATGCCCTGTGCTCAAATCACAGCATCATGATGCCTCCTTTTTGGAAGCACTCATGGTACTAGTGTGGTCTTGAATAAGATCCATGTGAGCAGATTCAGTCTTTGATATATAATGAATGTTAATACCCTTAGAAATTAGAGAGTTTGAGAGCCAAGAGTCGAGATTAATTAAGCCAACTTCATTCCCTCCACCTAACAAATAAGTAAAACAACACACCCTCTAGGACATGTTTTCTTTCATTACCCATCCAAGAATAGGCAGTAAATGTTGTGGGATGTAAAAGGATTCCCATACATGCTCTATCTTGTGAGACACAAGGACAACTGGGAAATTCTTGAAAACCTCAATTCCAGAAGATAGCTCTGCTGGATGACTGATTTTTGTTACAGATTCACAAAGCGTCTTAACATGTAGATTTAGGATGTGGGAGTAATTTGAAAGTCAGCTTCCCACGAAACCTTCTTAGGAGTCTACACTCAAAAATTGATGGGGACCCCGGGGGAGGGGGAGAGGGCGGTGCTGGGGTGTGGCAGGGTGTCTGATCTTGTCTGCAGCTGTGTGAGCTTTGGAGATTTTCTTTCCTTTCCTGGTTCTCAGTTTCTTCCTCTAAAATATTAGGGTTTAAATAAATTTCTCTGGTCCCTTCCAGTTAAAATATTCTGGGATCCATGATTAACTCAGAGCATGCTATGTTTATTGGAACAGTCTCCAAAGCTGATCAGCCTCCTTGGTTGAGGCTCCACATCCCTTATTTCTGACTAACACAGTAAGGTTTTAGAAAGGCAATGTCTTGTCATGCAAAGGTCACTGGATCTGAAATCAGTGGACCTTGTTTTAAGCACTGGCTACCATTAGGTGAATGATCATGGGCAAACCCTTTGAAGCTCTGAGTTTCAGTGTCCTTCTCTATAAAATGGTGTTAATGATACACTATCCCATTATTCTGTGAGCTCTGTGAAAGCAGAAACCGTGTTTACCTTTTTTTGTAACCCTAGTACTGGTGTCTGACATATAGTAGGCACTTAATAAATGCTTGTTATTGTATCTGCCTGACCAGGTGGTTGGGTATGAAAGGCTTTTTTAAAACCTTAATGATATGGAAATGGAATAACATATGTAAACTTGAAACATGGCATTACACCCAGCTGTGGGGTCCCTAATTTCACCACTCTCTATTCTCCAGCTCCCTTCACAGAGGGGAATGCATTCTCCCCTCTCTTGTCACCCCTGCATTCAAGCTGAAGGGCTAGCCCATATTTGGAGATGAGAGAAAAGAGCTGAGGAACCCAAAAATTGGCTTTAAGTTCTGGGAGTTAGTGGATTGAGCTCTCCCTGTACCTGGGAGCAGTTAGGAATAGAGAAGGATGGAATCAATATTCCAGGGATTCATAAACAGATTTTTGAGGGCAATGAGTGGGAAGAAAGTTGGGAGGTTTGTTGCTTGTTAGCTCTGCATCTCTTTCATCTCCTAACTCTCAAATAAAGCAATCTAAAGCAAGTCTTAAAAAAAACCCCAAAACCGTGACACACAACACAACAACATATAGAAAAGCATTGTTAGTTTATTTTCGTTTACATATTTCATAGGGAAAAAGTAGAAAAACATTCACGGTGCGTGAAAATATACAGATTCCTCTATTCTACAGGCACAGGGAGGCAGGAGCATCAGTGGCAGCAGCTGCAGCTCTCGGTCTGGGGGGCTTTGCAGACACAGCCCTGGGCACACTTGGCACATCCTGCTGGGCAGCAGGAGCAGCAGCCTGAGAAGGAAAGACAGGAAGTGAGTGTGAGGAGTCCTGACCTAAGCACCTGGCAGAGCCCACCCAAAGACATCAGTGGGGAGTCTGAGGACGTATCCCATGTGACTCAACAGCTTAGGGGCTATTTGGAAGATTTAGCTCTGCTAGGAAATCAGCTTCCTCCCTGCTAGCTATATTTCAATCACCAACTATGTGCCTCTATTATAAGTAGCTGAGGGGAGCAGTGAAGGCATTTAGACCCTGGAGCCAGGAAGATCTGAGTTCAAATCCAACCTCAGATGCTTACTAGCTGTGAGGCCCTGGCCAAGCCATTTAACCATTGTCTCAGTTTCCCCATCTGTGACATGGAGAGAAGAAAAGCACCTATCTCCCAAAGTTGTTGTGAGGACAAAATGACATACTATTTGTAAAGCATTTTGTAAACCTAAAAGCACTACACAAATGCAACCTATAGTAATGATATTCCAGGTACTGGAGATACTGAGACTACAGTGACATAGTTGAACCCCCTCCTCCAGGCCTATACAGATATCTCTCTGATAATGCCAGGGCTGCTTAGTTCAGAAGATGGAAGATCCCCACCCCACCCCACCCCTAGTTTCTTAGTACACTTACTTTTCTTACAAGAGGTACAGGAGCATGATTTGCATTTGCAGGAGTCACCACAGGTGCAAGAGCCACCTAGAGAGAGAGGGAGGTGGGGGTGGGAAGCAGTTGTTAGCATCCAATCAGAGCTCCAGGGCAGATTTCAGGATAAAACAAAAGTATGGGATTATCCTTTCCCTCTCATTCCCCAATCTCCCCCCCCTCCAGGTCCCTAAAAGGAGGCTACAACCCTTAGATCTTACAGTAAAACCCAAGGACTTAGCGGGCTGCTCCTCTGCTTATCACGGATTCCAGATCTTGGGACCCTGATCGTCCCCCTCTAAAACTCGGGGAGCCTAGCAGCCATTTTCTTCAACAAAAGAACCCTTCTCCAATTGGCTCCTATACCTGGGTCCCCACTGTCCAGTACATTTGTTATTTAGGGCTTCCTCTAAGAAATGGATAAAAGCTTTCAGTTCCTCCACTTTAGAGCCAATCCAACCATTTTCTCCATGCTAACAGCAGCGTCTTTCCTCCCAAGCCTTTCCCTTTTAGCTTAAATCAAAGCCAGGGCAGAGCCCAGGTTCCTGGTCCCTAAGACAACCTGAGAACCTAGGAGTCCCTTACCATTTGAGCAGTCACAGTTGGGGTCCATAGCTGGCAGGGCTGGAGCACGTGGGCTGAAGAATGAGCTGGAAGGCTAGAAGGATGAGTTGTGAAGGGACCGGTCCAGCCCCTCCCTTTATAGCAGAACAGGAGAATGAGTGCAAAAGCTCTGCCCCCTTCCTCCTTGCCCAAGATGAGTCTCTTGCACTCAGCCCTACTACTTGGCTGAGTTGTAGGCTCTGTGCCCAGGTTATGACTCAGAGGGAAATTCCCCAGAATCTAGGGTGCTGAGTGCAGATCTCTGGGGCAGCTGCAGTCTCCTGGCTCAGAGTCGCTGTGTGCAAAGGTAGGGAGAGGCCCTGGGGCCATACAGAACATCATGTACCCTTGGGTGTTCTCTCTGCTCCCAGGCAGCTTGTATTATTCCTTGCTAGAAATGAGGAGCTAGTCTTCTTTTTCTGATTGGGAAAATTAGTTCAGACCTTCCTATTCTCAAACTTCTTGTTGTGTCCTTGGCAGGGAGACCATCTGCCCCGCCAGAGACCCTTTACAAAGTTATGCTCGGGCCTCTGCCCTCTGATTATTACCCAACGAACCTTCTGTGCTGAGGCTGTCAGCCCCTAAACTTGTGACTACTCTTGTCCTTGCTTAGTCACCTGTGCTCATTGCTCAGATAAGCAGAAAAGGGAGCTGAAGTGTGTGGATGGGGAGGGGGTAGACTGGGGGAGCAGGAATGTTCAGAGGGCCTAGGATGGGCATAAACATTCTCAGAGACTGAGGTACAATGGGTGTAAGTCCAGTCTATACAAATGTAATGAATAACCTTAGGGCTTTTGTGGAAAGTAGGGCCCTTTAACCACTGAGGCCCTTCCTCCATTGTTAGGCCCTTCCTGACTGTGAAGATCCATCCATTTACTCAATAAATATTTGCTAAGTGCCTACTGTTGAAACAGTGCAGTGGAAAGACAGGCGGATTTGTAATCAGATGACCTAGGTTTGAATCCCAGCTCTGCCACTGACTTCCTTTCTAGATCTAGGCAAGTTGCTTTACCAGTCTGTACCTCAGTTTATTCATCTGTAAAATAAGGGGGTGGGACTAGATGTCTTTTGAGGTTTCTTGTTATTCCATCACTTCCAACTCTTTGTGACACCATGACCCTTAGCACACCAATACTGTCCATGGAGTTTTCCTGGCAAAGATATTGGAGTGGTTTGCCATTTCATTCTCCAGAGGATCAAGACAAGCAGAGCTTAAGTGACTTGCCCAGCTCATTTTACAGATGCCATTGCCTTCTCTAGCTCATCTCACAGGTAAGGAACTCAGGCAAACAGGGTTAAATGACTTGCCCAGGGTTACACAGCTAGTAAGGGTCTGAGCCCAGATTTGAACTCAGGTCTTCCTGATTTCAGGCCCAGCACTCTATCCATTGAGAGCTGCCTGCCTCTTAGGTCCTTAAGTTTATGGTCCTTGATTAAGGCCCTGTATTAAGTGTTATGGGGGTCACAAAGAAAGGGTAAGTGACATTCCTGGCTTGAGGAAATTTAAAACCTAATAGCAGGGTATGACATGTGCAAAGATGGCCTATAAGGTCTCTTTCTAACCTAACATTCTTCGATCTCCCGTGAAGTACTAGATGAGTCCAGATGTAGCATGTAGTGTATAGGTGAAATATAAACAGAATGGGATGTGAGTTCAGTCCGAAGGAGTGATCCATGAGGAGTGATAGACATTTGAGGAGAGAGAAGATCCTTTAATTTGACAGGGAAAGCCACGTGGAGTAGGTGAAACTAGATTTGGGTTTTGGAGGAACAGAAAGACTCCAATAAGGACTAGGGAGGGGGCAACAGAAGGTTGGTGAAGGCAGCAGGTCCATTCTGGGCCTGGGGCAGGGGGTGGGGGTGGGGTGGAAGGGTGAGGCATAGTGTGAGCAAAGGTAAGAAGATGCTTTAGGTCCTTCATAAAAATTGGGAGGAAGGGCAGCTAGGTGGTGAAGTGGATAGAGTACTGGCCCTGGAGTCAGAAGAACCTGAGTTCAAATCCGGTCTCAGACCAGATACTTGACACTTACTAGCTATGTGACCCTGGGCAAGTCACTTAACCCCAATTGCCTTGCAAAAATAAATAAGTAAGAATTGGGGGGTACCTTAGAGATCATTTAGCCTAATACCTTCATTTTATGGGTTAAGAAACTGAGACCTAGAGAGGTTGAGTAATTTGCCTGAAGGACACCCAGGTACTAAATAGCAGAGTCAGGATTTGAACCTTGGTCCCTTGATGCCAAATCTTGTATTCTTTTCACTGGAGTCCATGTATCCCAGGGGACTATTGATGAAAGAACCCACATTTCAGGAAGGCGCTCAGCCCTGCCATCTCTTCATTTCCCACTTTTTCATTGTGCCCCATGAACCTCTTCATCCTGCTTCATCACTCCAGCCCACAAAATCCCACCTTGTCAGTATCCTCTGCCCTCAGGGCCCCTCCCTCAGATTGGAGAGTAGAGAGTGAGAAGCTCACCCCCAGAACCTCCATTTAAGGAGGGTGCCCAGGTGGGCCATCTCTCCCTTTACCACCTAGCTGCACTCCTCTGGATTTGTTCTTCATATTTTATCCCAAGCCAATCCTATCCCCACCCCTCATTTCAGCCTCCTTTTGGGCGTTATCCTCCTCCATTATCCTATAAGATCTTTGAAGGCAGGAACTCTTTGTATCCCAGGGTTTAGCACTGGGCCTGGCATTTTGAGTAGAGTCTTAATGTTTATTGACTGTACAATGTATTTTCACCAGTGCCCTCAACTCACGCACCGATTTTCTGTTAAGAGAAAAGGAATGCTCAAACATCTGTCAGAAATTCAGACAGAGGATAAGCCTTTCCACCCTGGAGACCGAGATTGGGAGCAGGGGTGGGAGTGGAGGAGTGAACAGGTGCAGTGAGTAGTATTGAGGAGACGCAGGACTGACCTTTCCAAACTTTCTTCATGGGGAAGATGATAGTCTTTTTGTCCCTGCCTCCTTAAGCTCTCTATGTTGAGCTTTTAAAATTTCTATTTCTGAGTAAATTTTCCTCTCCCTCTCCTTCTCTCCTCATTCCCTCTTCCTCTCCCCTTGTCTCTCCTTTTCTTCTCCTCCTGCTTTTCCCCTTTCTCTCTCTCCCCTTTCTTCTCTGTTTTCTCTCTTCTTTTTTTCTCTCTGTCTCTCTCTCTCTCTGCCTCATCCTCACCCCTGTATATCTGTCTCTCTCCACTTCCTCAGTCTTCCCCACCCCCATGCCGTCTCTCCTTCCTCCCTGTCTCTGTGAACCTTTGTCGGCAGAACATGAATTCCTAGCTACTTACTTGTAACAGAAAAGAAGTCAGCAGCCCTGGTAGTGTGTCATCAACATGCTGGAGGGAAAATACAAAGCCTTCCTCTGGTAAGTTCAGAGTTAGGACACAGGTTTCTTAATGTAAAACTGGAAGAGTGAAAAGAATCAAGATGAGAGGACAGGGGGAGGAGAAAGGGGAGAAAGGTTAAATAAGGTTGCTGTGCCTCCTAACAATTGCTCTCACCTTGTAGTGTTTTCTATAGGTAGAAATGCTGAAGAGAGTGACAAGATAATCTGTCACAAATGAAAGGCAGTGGATGAATGGGTTGCCAAGAAAATCTCTGAAGGGCTGAATGAATTGCCGATGGTCATGATGAGGTTTAGGGGCTTAGGGGTGCTGGGACCCCAAAATCACAACATGCAGATCCTGCCTCAAAGAATTCAACCCAAGCCTTCTTTCAGCCAAAGACAAGGTTTATTAGAACATCTGTCATAGTGGGCAGACTCTTAAGGAGTCTGAACATTAATAAACTATTGGCTAAATTTTAAGAATCTAAGCATTTTAATGGAGACAAGGTGGACCTTATACACAGAAGACTATGGGAGGGACCCAGGAGTGGCCAAGTAGTTTGGGGTGACTGGAGGAGGGGTCTAAGGAAGATCTGAATGGGAGTGGCCAGTAAACTAAGCTGAACAGAACTGGAATTTGTACAATGGAGCCCAGCTAGGATCAAGTGTGGGAAATGGCTGGGGGCCATAGGGAAAGGTAAGAGAGATTGGGTGTAGCCACAGTGAAAGGCCAGTTGATGGGATTATAGCCTCGGGGGAATGCTAGAGATTCGACCAAGTGGGAAAGTCCAGGGTTTTTCTTTTTTGGAGTCTAGATCCTATCCTCATCCGTCACATAGCTGGAAGTGTCAGAGGCAGGGTTTGAACCCAGCCTTCTTGACTACACATCTGATTCGCCTTCCAATATACTGGGGAGGACAAGTGTTGATTGATTTTTTTAAAAAGGAAAAGAAACTACCTTCCCTCCCTGCTCTTAAGCCCCCTGCCCCAAAACAGTGTTATCTCATGTTAGTCTTGTTATTATTCTTAATGACAGTAAAAAAAGAGTGTGACATAGTAGCTTAGGGAGCTGATCTCAAAGCCAGCAAGACCTAGATTCAGGTTTTACCTTTAACACACTCTGCCTTTAACCTAACCCTGGGAAAGTCACATAACTCTTCCACATTCTAGACAACTGTCTAAGAATAAAAGTGTTCAACCACTTTTTCAACAAAGCGCCAGTCTGCTATGGTAAACATCGCAGGTCTGATCCCTATCCCCTAAGAGTAGAACTAATGCTTTCTGACTTGCCATTTCATCTCTTTTCACCTTCATGCCTACCAAGGGGTCAGGTATGTTCAACACAGGGAGAAAGATAAAAGGAATAGCTAACATTTCTATAGTGCCTAAAGATAAACCAAGTGCTTTACATAGGCTATTTCGTTTGATCATTACAGCAGCCTTCTGAGATAAGTGCTATTATTGTCCCTATTTATGATGAAACTAGGACTGAGAAGCTAAGAGATTTGTCTCCAGTTACACAGCTAAGAAATGTCAAAGGTGGGATTTGAACCCAGCTCCTCCAACTCTAAAGCAAGTATTTTTTCCACTGTGCTACAAAGTATCTCAAGCTCAATAGGCAGTCAACCAATATGTTTATTAAACTCTTACTTTGTGCCAGGCACTGTGCTAAGTAAACCCTGGGTATTCAAAAGCAAAAACAGTCTCTGCCCCATTTACATTTTAATGGGGAAGACATCACATAAATACAAGATACA